GACTTGGTGTAAGAGTGGCCGTATATACACATGCAACCTAGGTCTGCCTGCTACTGTTAAGACTTGGTGTAAGAGTGGCTGTACATACACATGCAACCTAGGTCTGCCTGCTACTGTTAAGACTTGGTGTAAGAGTGGCTGTATATACACATGCAACCTAGGTCTGCCTGCTACTGTTAAGACTTGGTGTAAGAGTGGCTGTATATACACATGCAACCTAGGTCTGCCTGCTACTGTTAAGACTTGGTGTAAGAGTGGCTGTATATACACATGCAACCTAGGTCTGCCTGCTACTGTTGAGACTTTGTGTAAGAGTGGCCGTATATACACATGCAACCTAGGTCTGCCTGCTACTGTTGAGACTTGGTGTAAGAGTGGCCGTATATACACATGCAACCTAGGTCTGCCTGTTACTGTCAACAACTGGTGTAATAAGGTCCCATACCTACGCACGTAACACGTAAACCTGTTGGTTACCGTCAACACCCGGCACGTGACCAGAACATGCGCTATCTCGTGCGCGCGTACACGCGTGATGTGAGGCAAGAGGAATAAATTCCCACCTTGAGCATACGCTATCTCGCACGCGCATGATGCGAGGCAGGAGTAACAGCGAGTCGCACCTTGAGCACGCGGTGCAGCAGCAGGGGTGCCAGCTCGATGACGACGACGGCCGTCGCGGCGCGCTTGTGCCGCTGCGCGATGAACTCGCTGAGGAAGGATGCAGCATTGCGCACGGTCGGCGTCTCGGCGAGCGTCAGCGCGCTGATGCCGCACTGGAACTGTCCGGCGAGGTTGCAGTCCTTGTAGTCCAGCAGCTCCGGGTGCTTCTTGTACAGCTGCGCAAACGACGTCGGCGAACGTTAATTTCGGAGCGTCGTGTTTCGTAATGACTAGCAGTTGTATGACCCGTGTGAATAATGATGATATAAAGTGATTGTATTATATTGTAATTAGTATATCTAGTTAATATATATATATATATATTGTAATGTTTATGTAATACAATTTAGATATTATATTGTTTTTAAATAAATATTATATAT